AGTGTTCTTCCAGGTCTGTATAGATGCTTCTGTCATGTCTGCATAGACGCTGCTGTCGTTTCAACAGCTCGGATACATAAAGGAACTTAATCGTCCCTACAGTAAGTGAGATTAAAAATGGCAGTTACACCCTTCATCTTCAAAGAGGTTTTAATTCAATCCATCCCATTATCACGTCCATCTGTACATGCCTATTCTGGCAGACTACTAATGTATTTAATGGCCACAAACAAAGCCATCTGTTTTACATGAAAACAGAAAGCATGAGACCTTGGCTGCACAGCAATTAATAATTTTAATGGAATTTATTTCACCTTGGAATTTTATTTCATCTTTGAGTCATATGTAAAACCACAAGATATCACTCCTTCTCCGCATGTCCAAGAATTCTCATGTAAATTAGAATTAGCAATCTAGCTAGTAATTAATCAGACACTACTAATTATTGCTTTGGGATGCTCCTAGTAGAGTAGCGAGGTTCTGTTTCAGATCTCTCACTTGCAAAAGTTCATTCAGACTGATCTATTACTAGTATCATTTAATGTATCCTCTATATTTATTTAGGACAGCTGCACTATTCAGGATTCTTGGGATAAATTATTACAAGAATAGGCCAGACATTTGTTATTGAGCATGAAAAAGAGTATTAGGCAGTCTGTGTAAATGCATAAATAGACTCAGCTGACTTTGCAAACATGTGACTAGCACATTACTGCTCAGTAATTTCTTCTACAGTTAAGTATAAGGTATGAAGCCAAAAAGGAAGTATAATGCAATACGTTCTTTAAAGTTACAGTGGAAAATATGAAAAAGAAAACACAACGCAAGAAGAGTTACCCTGTAACCAGTCTAACTGGAAAACGCAATTACCGTCAGCTCTCCATTAATTCTGGGTGGATTATCAAATTTGGAAATAGACTGTGCAGCACAGCTGCCTTGTTTCCAAACAAGCCAATTAAAGCTGACAGGGCTGATTAACTCCCGCGCAGCTCCACGCGGACGCAGCGCAACCACTTCCAGCTCTGAGCTGGCACGGGGCAGCGAGGCGGCCACGCACCTGGGCGAGGGAGCCCTCCCAGAAAAGGCAAATCTAGAAATTCAGTGTAAGCTGCTTGAGTCCTGCTCGAAAGGGCAGCCCCAAATCACCATTTTACAGCGTGGTCCCTTCCAGCACATAAGCAAGGGCAGCTTGGGGAGGAACATACATGAATAGCCTCCTACCATGGGATGTTCCTGGGCAACCTCAAACAGGAACAAGACGGTCGTGAGTAAAACCCAAAACTCAAGTTTGCAGATATGCTGATTTCTGCAGAATTGTGGTAATGCTGGAAGTTTTGACATCACTCTGCCAAAATTCAAACAGCAGACAAACTTGAGCTTACAAATCTATCCAAAGCTATTTCTCCTTTCCTTTAAAATTATTAATCCTCTCAAATGTAAGATTTTTAGACTACATTCAGTAAAATGGATAAAGAAAAAAAAGGACCATTTTTTCTTAGGAATAGTACATTAGTTAGTAAGTACATCAGTTCGTTCAGTACATCAGTTAGTATTTCTTTGGCCTCAACATTCTATTTGCTGATTTTACATTATTTATCCCATCTTTATTAAGCTTACAAGGAGCACGTGCCAATTTCATTTTGGCCATTCCAAGGGTTTTACCTTAAGTTTGCACACCGTAAAAAGCACTTTTCTGAACACAGCCAGGTCATCTGTACACTAAAAGACACACCTACAAGAAGGAAGCAGGCAGCTTACGCGAAGGGCTCCACAGCTACGCTCACAGCGCCACGAGTGGCTCCTCGAACCAGCGAGGACACTCAGGGAATGGATTCCCCGTCCTCTACCCAACGCCGCGGCACTGTGCAACGCGGGGAAACCACTTCATCATCCAGGGCGAAACCTCGAGACGGCATCGCCCTCTTTGAAAGGTTTGGGCACTGCCTTCGCCTCCGGCTATGCACAAATGTACCTAATTCTCCTGCAGTATCACTGCAGCTGTGTGATTAGTCGGCGAAGTGTTTGGTAGGAGCCCTACGGGTTATTTTAGCCATTTTAAAAACAAGAGCTTATTTAGTGTTGTCAGAACAAAAGTGTAATTCTTGAGACCAAACAAAACCAGGTAACTAGGGAATTAATTTATATTATCAGTTACACAAGGAAAGGATAATTTCAGTTATTAAGTCACACCTATTTTTTTTAATTTCAGAAGCACCTGGACAATACTGATATTATTTAATAAAAATGTTCACTACACATAAACAATCAACAAAGTTTAAAGCTGTATAAAGAATGATGTAAAAAGAAAAGAATGAGACATACTAAAGACACACTAAAATATTTCACTTTCCAGTAATTACTGAAGTGGCGCCCCCCACCCCCATCCCCATATAAATAAAACCAGTAGAGCCTGTTCTAGAAAGAGTTGTCTTCAGTTCTGGAAAAATGGTAACAGGCCTCTGTATTTGAAGCTCAGACTAAGCAAAGTCATTCAGAGGAAAGAAGTAAATGTTACAGTTCTTGTAAAGGAAGATGATGTGAAAAAATACCACCAAATACGCAGATGTTTTCTTGGTCAAGGAAATACCTCAACCCAATGGGGAAGAGCTGTTGCTGATCTATTTCAAGACTAGTGGGAAAAAGAAAAGGGCAGAGTTATAAGACAAATATTTGGGAAATATTCAAAAATACCCTGAAGCTACTTTAAGAATTACAGATCATCTGATAAAGCACGAACTTCTACTACAGCAAATTTAAAATGTCTTTAAAAATCTTTGAAGAAAGATAAAGAAGGATTTTACCACAGACCGACAAAATTGACTCAGAAATGGTCATGAATTCTCAAGTCTAATGCCTAGCTAGTGCCTTACTTTAAATTCTATATGCACACTTTTTCTGATCTTTTTCAACCCTACTAAATCTATCTGAATTAACTTTATTATTATAAAATCCTATCCATTTAAGTCTTCTCGTTATATAAATGAATATGCTATGTAATACCTGTGGTATTAGCTGGCGACTTTTGTTACTGCTCTGTCTCTTTATTGGGACAGAAAGAGCGGAGCGGACGTGAGAAGCCCGCTCTTGCCGAGGCTGGAACAGGGAGTCCAGCTTTGGGGCTGGTGGAGCACAGTCGTGCCCAGGCAGGCTGGGCACATTGGGTTAGAAGGTCGTATCCCAGGCTTCAGAAGCAATACTAATCAATGTCAGGCCCACAGAAAGGCCTTGGCTGCAGCTCCAGGCTTTGGTGATGCTTTCTCCTACATAATTAAAGCAAACAACCATCCGGCTGATTTGCAAAAGTCTTCTAAAGCCACCTGCTCCTGTGCAGCCTTTTAATCAGCAAGAAAATCCTTATTAGCAGCGACCTTTTTTGTAATTGTTTCAGAATGACAGAAGTGGAAAAATCAACAGGGATTTAGATAAAAAGTAGCCCATTTGCTGTAACAGGAAACAAGGCCAAAGTCAATGTTTGGGAATTTTTTGCAACCCAGGCTGCGTGTTTTTTTAAAATACATTTTTTATTATATTAAAGGACTGAAGCAACATGAATTATCTTAAGACCATGGAGCTTTTTCCTGCGAGGACACTATCTCCCCATTTTACAGCCAATACTTCAGTCTGCATTCACTTTTTGCTAGGATTTCTCAGAACTCCTCAGATTTACTTTTATTACTTTTTTAAACACTCCATTTTCTCTTGAGTCACACCGAGACAACGAGAGCTGCAGCCTGCAAGCGCGACATAACCGCAGACCGATAAACCTGGGCTTTTACAGAAGCGAAGACACCCAAAGGCAGCAGCCACCTCTCAAAATCGTGACGGTAAGGAGAAAGAACCCAGGAGAACATCTCAGCTTTGAGCCCATTCACCTTGTCCACCAAGGCCATCTGAACCTGTGTCCAAATGCTGCAGCTACCTAGTGCCACGGAGTAATAAAATAAAAATGTCCTTTGCTGTTAAATGAACAGTAACTTCAAGGGGAAACCCTCGGTGCAGGGACAACGTTAGGCCGGGGCTCAGGTGCCATTTTGGGGCTATT